TAGACTTAAAATAAGACCCAAAACTCGAGCGCTTTCGATTAGTCAACTATTTGAAAGTTTGTATTAAACAATAGTGTTCAGTGTAGATTACAAGAATTTCATTTACACTTCTAACAGGTCATTCTATAAGAGTAACAATTGAAGTGTAAATCCAGCATTTAAAATTCCATAAAATTAAAGAAATCCCTACATTTTACCCTGCTGCTGGCCTCATTAAAGAAATACATTCATAGATTTCATGAAGTTACTAAATCCCAAAGTAAACAGTCTTTAGAACACAATCAAAAACTCTTAATATTAGGGACTAGTTCAATAAATGTACAGTACCACACAGAAAACTTAATATAAGGATTTTGAAAGTTGCTTTTCTCACCTTAATGGCAGTCATAGCAAACATAATTTTTCTCTTTCCATCGATGTTGGTGTTCATAACACGCAAAATATGCTGGAACTTCTCAGGAATCACTAGAGACTGAAAATTTCAATTATTGTCTTATAAAATAAACAAATCTTTTAATGCTTAAACCTAACTGTCAAGCATTTTCTTTTGTATTCTACTCTACCAATTTCTTGAAGATGATTCAGAAACAAAAAATGTATACATAGTACTAGACCCTAAAAGTATTTTAGATGTATTTTAAAGAAAGTTCTCAAACACAATGATAAAAAGTAATGCACACGTCTAGTTTTATGCTCATTTCTGTGGGTTTGAATTCATCGATGATAAGACCACACCATAAACTCCGTAATCTTGATTGTTGAAAGTTAGTACTATATTGGCCACTTTAATACTTAAACTCGAGCAGACGCTGCCAGGGTCAAGGCAAAAATCCAGATTTACCCATCAGACGGTGACATTTGATAACATTTCTCTGGCTGAAAACTTATCCAAACCATGTTATTGTCCACCTTTTTTAAACAGACTAGAAATTTTATAAGGTATGGTGCTAATTAAACACGGGCAGTAATAGGGGAGGGCTTGCTAGGACGAGAGCATTGCTGAACACTTGTTTCAGGACATTATTTACAAAAGATCAATGAAGAGATTATTAGCTATATTTATATATGTCATAACGTTATTTTAGAGGCTACATTTATGCACATTGTAACGTTATTTTTTAGACTACATTTATGCACATTGTAACGTTATTTTAGAGGCTAATTTATACACATTGTAACGTTATTTTAGAGGCTATATTTGTGCACATTGTAACGTTATTTTAGAGGCTATATTTGTGCACATTGTAACGTTATTTTAGAGGCTATATTTGTGCACATTGTAACGTTATTTTAGAGGCTATATTTGCGCACATTGTAACGTTATATTAGAGGCTATATTTGAGGACATTGTAACGTTATATTAGAGGCTATATTTGCGCACATTGTAACGTTATGTTAGAGGCTATATTTGAGCACATTGTAACGTTATGTTAGAGGCTATATTTGAGCACATTGTAACGTTATGTTAGAGGCTATATTTGAGGACATTGTAACGTTATTTAAGAGGCTATATTTATGCACATTGTAACGTTATTTTAGAGGCTATATTTATGTGCACTGTAATTCAACACTATTTCAAGGTTTTGACAATAGCAGCACATTGTAACGTTATTTTAGAGGCTATATTTGTGCACACTGTAAATCAACACTATTTCAAGGTTTTGACAATAGCAGCACATTGTAACGTTATTTTAGAGGCTATATTTATGCACACTGTAAATCAACACTATTTCAAGGTTTTGACAATAGCAGCACATACTAACGTATATTCTGTGCTACATTAACTTTTCTATTATGTGCCATAACCATGTGAAAAATAATTACATCTTACACTATAACTTGGACGTTTCAATGTTTTTCCATTATTAAACTGTTTCAAACATTTTAGGCTTTACAAGGTGGAGACAAGGGAATGTATATATATCTCTCATTCTGTGAACAAGATTTAAAACATTTTTGCAACAACTGTCAATAAATAATCAAGTAAAATAGCACTGCTAATTGTCAAAGTATAGACTTGAAGCTGCCAATGGCGCTAGGTCCATGTAATTATATTGGAGAGTGTAAAGGGACAACTAAAAAACGCTGATAGGGCTAATATCGTTACAATTTATATACTGATAGTTAGAAATTGTCATATATAAACTAATCTGATTAGAATACTACTAAGCTGAATTAGACTTCGAACGATATTATGGCAAAAGTTCCCTTAACGATTTCCATTGTATATTTAAACTTAAAATCACGAAACCTTTAGTTATGAAGCCTATAATTTAAATTTAGTAGGATTAACCACCAAGCTAACTAGCTAGAAATAAAAAGTCAGTTAGGCCTAGACATAGTTATGGCTGAAAATCACACTATCTCAAGGATTGATCCACGAGTAAAAAACCGTATATTCCCTAAAATTTAAGTTAATTACTCGTAATACATCCCTTAATAGCTAGAACTACCATTAACAAATAAAATAACACAATACATAACCAATATTTAAATTATTACACATGATGAAAACTGATATAAAAATCAGTACAAACCATTTTTCCTGAATAGCTTCAAGTCCTTTACACAAAAGGAAGTAGAGGGCGTTGCACGTAACTTTGTCTAACTGTATAATACAAGTCTGTGCAATTAAAAGTAAGCATAGAAAGTGGTTTGGAACTGAACGTGTAACTTTAAATATATAAAATTGTGGTAAGCTATAGATACAAATATGTATATATACAAAATATTGTAATATTTTGTATATATATCACTTTGCAGTGCCATAAGAATGAATTAATAATATAAATTTTCAGCATTTTGTTAATTGTTTTGCGGTTGATAAAATTAACTATACATAATTTTTTTCTCCAATTTTTACAATGAAATTATGACAAAAAAGGACTCAATATACCCAGAAATCTTCGCAATTC